AACCCACCTCTGAAATATTGTAAAGAACTTTGAAATAGTTTGATCAGACACGTAACACCCCTCCTGACCATTTTACAAAAAACTAAACCATGTTATTAGTGTCAAAGACTTTAACAAAGGGTAAAAATTAGTGAAACCTGGCTCAACATCCAGAATCCTCTTTACACGAACCAATTTACATCTTCAGAAATAACGTTTCAAATAAAAAAAGATGTATTAATGGAGCATACCCGTTTATTTAAGCAAACTACTGGCCAAAGCGAACATCCGGCGGTGCAGCAACAAAATATCAGTCCACATACCAACCAGCGAGCATTATTCGGCATAGTTCGATGAAGAACAGCATTTATTCGTCGAAGCGTATCTGAAAGTTCTTCTGGAGCCAATCTACCAGTTAAGACAGCTGGAAATTCAGTGTCGAATCGAGAATTTAAACCAAACCTAAATTAAGAAACAATCACTTATTATTTAAAAAAAGCATACAAAGCATAAATTCTGATTAAACCACCTTCCAAAGACATTAATCAACTTTTAACACTCCTTAAACAAAAAACATATCGTAAAAAAGATCCTTTAAAACTATAATAGTGTCAGCGAAAAATTATTAATTGCAGTTAGAAGCGCACATAGTTATGCGACCAACTCCGCGAATAATTATCGGTTCCTTCGAAGAGGGAATCGTATGAGCATACTGACCATCACTAGTAGCACTAATATGCGACGACATCGAACGTGGCAGTTAGCTCAGTGCAACCCCGACCTCACGTTTCTTCCCCTAAATAAACTTTTCCTAAGTATCAGTTTATTCGCAACAGTCAGCTAGATGCCGAGAACCATAATATTAATGTCAAGACATAAAACACAATAAGCCCCGCTTGTGCACTGAAAACTGATAGAATTCAGTAAAAACAGTCTAAAAAAAAGCAAAAATAAATAAATAAATAAACTCAACTTGAGATGACAAACAATCATTTAGACCCTATGAACCACCGGCAAAAATTTTTATGGTTCTGCTGAGCTTTAGCAGAACCAGTTTTAAAAATGAAAATTCATTGTAAAGTATCTATCTGCCACCACTTTTCCTTTTTGTAACTACTTGTTAAAAACGTTATTTATTTCACCTTTGTAATTCGTATATCTGAGAAAACTTATCCATGAGCATTTAGAAAGCACAAAAAATAAGTTTTAACTGCAAAAAACATCAATAAACACGTTACTGAACAAACAGGGAAAGTTCACTAACGAATTTCCCTCACGTCGAAAAAAAAATAAAGAAACAGCACCCTCCGTTCTCTTTCTCTTTTTTTTTTTCTTTGTCCATCACAAAAAATCTTCTTCTGATCAATTATATATAAACATCAGCGTTAGGAAAAGCGCATGTCACGTAACACACCTTGGCTGTTCACTTTCTCGCCTACACGCAAAAAAAAAAAAAGAAACAAAATGATAGCGACTTCAAAATGATATGTATAATTAAGACACTAAGCTTGAAGTTCTACAGACACTTATCAACTTCTGAATCCACCGACCCAACAGCATCACAGAAAAAAATAAGCTTTTAATCGACACGAAATACTTTACGTAGAATAATGCAAAAAAAAAATTATACACGTATACGAGAAAAAGGCAAGACAAAACAAGTAAAAACATCTTTATTCAGACGTCTCTGTGCTTACAATAAAAAAAATTTTTTACAAAGTAAAATAAGCAAGGAAATTAAAATGTTGATAAAAATGATGATGAAGTGGAGAGATAGTTTTAGATAAAACTCTCCGTTTCACACACATAAACGCTTTTCCTTTTAACAAAAGAATAACAAGACATACTTCTTGACAATTTACTACCCTCCCCTGGCACTAAAAAAAAACGTAGGAAAATAAAATGCCAAAGTTACAACCAAATAAACAGCAATAAAAGAAGACTGCATCCAATAAAATACTTAAAAAAACAGCTTCCATGTAAAAAACTTACGAGACAAAATATTTGCACAATAAAATGAATAATGTATCTAAACAGGCATATTTAACAACGAAAATACTAACATTACCACCAACGGCAAAGATATCACCACCTCCGCCTGGCATCATCAGCAGCAGCATCAGAAGCAGTACTATCACAAGACTTCGTCATCAAACAACAACAAGAACAACAATACAAAAACGGATACCCCAACACAGTAAAGCAAATCAAAAACCAACTAATACCACCATCGATTTCCTAGCCGCTGCGAGCCCAAAAAGCAGCTGATCGTCTTTCTCTTTCCGCTCTTTCTCTTACCACCCTCCGTTCGCTTTTGCGAAAAAAAAAAGGACCTTCCTCAACCCCCCTTCCCCTTGTCCTTTACTCCTTCCCCACTCCCTCCAATTTCCCATCAACCCAATTCCTCGTTTTCATCGCTACTAACGCCTTCTATATGCACAAAACGCCCAAAGCAGCCGGCTAAACACACACGGAAACACTACTGCAACACATTAATATGTATATACACACACACAAACAAACAAACGATCAACTCGACGGCGATCGTCAACATCTCTCCGCTTCTTAATTCTCACTTGCTCGTCTCTCCCTTACTCTTTCCGTCTGTGTGTATGTTTTTGTGTGCGCACACTGTTTGCTTGCGGTTCTGCTGCGGTTTTTGCTTAAAGCTGGCAAATTGCCAATTGCTTTGACGTTAACGTTCGGCAAGTTGCCAAGAAAAGATACTATAATCAAACGAAAATGTATTAACAACTTTTCCTTTTAAGTATCACCATTATTGCAGTAGCATCGGCGCAATCAACACATCCACTTTATAGCCGCGACAGCTTGACAGCGAAGAAAAAATTTATAAATGACGAAGAGTTAGTGTTTGAGAACTTCCTCGCTACACCGACCAGTGTCGGTTAATCGCGCAGATCAATATGTCGTCTCCAAATCCAAAATTGAAATCGAAGACGTCCCTTCCTTTTTCTTCTTTTTTTTTCTTTTTAAACAGAAATTTTAATTAGATTATATTTAATGAGTGAAAAAAAAAA